TCACAAGGAAAATACAAACGTTCCAAATAAAAAAATAACAAAAGAAAGCGTAGGGACGCCAGATGTTCTGACCTCACACCGCAGACATAAGAGACCCGCACGGTGAAGGCATGAGTATGACACTTTTGATTGTCTTACGGCGTTGAATCTAGCCGATGTCAGACGTCGGGACGTGCTTTTTGTTCTTCAGCACTGCACAGAAAGATATAAGATCAGCGAAGGTGTCATAAGTAGTGTGAGGCCCAGTCAGGTGAGCTTGTACTATCCAAAGTGAGGGCGCCACGGTTCAGAGCTTCAGCGCAGGAGGCCAATCGCCAGGGGAGCGTGCACCAGACGTCTAGCAGTCCATTAACAGCGGGGACCATCCGCTTGTAGAAATACAAAATTCTCCGAGCTCTTTGTAGATTTGAAGTAGATCATTCCGATACCTCCGATAACCACACCCGATAACGATACGATGCATGCGCAAAGGCGTCGGCGGAGTATCGGGGATCGTTATCGGAGTCGTCGGAACGATCGTGGACCGCGTTTCCCCCTCCGCAACGAAGAAGCTGCTACTGGGCATGCGCGCCGATGGCCTTGACTGCAAAGTTCCGGATCTCGTAGCGGGTTGCGGAGGGCCGTTGCGAGACAGAAGAAACGATCTGCGAAAACTCCCTATTAATAGGATGTCTTCTTAGATCGTCCGATACCTCCGATTACGGTACCCGATAGCCAATACGATGCATGCGCGAAGGCGTTAGCGGAGTATCGCGTGTCGTTATCGGAGTCATCGGAACAATAGAGATCAATAGAGATTTTAGTACATCCCCATTCCGATACCTCCGATAACCCCGATGACGATACGATGCATGCGTATAGGCGGCGGCGGGGTATTGAGTATCATTAGGGAGTTTTCGTAGGTCGTTTTTATATAACGGAGAGCGTTGCGAGACAGCGGAAACGACCTACGAAAATTCTCTAATAGTTGTGTTGTAACAACGTTTCTGTGTAATGAAGTCGGTTGACGCGACTGTTTATTTTTGTCGGTTGGCAGTGAAAACTAACCAAAGGAAGCGTTCACGGGTGCTAAGACGACGAAACAGCCCTAATGAGGCAATAGGGAGTTTTCGTAGGTCGTTTCTGCCGCCCCGCAACGCTCTCCACAACCCGCTACGATACCCGTAACTCAACAGCCAAGGCCATCGGCGCGGTCTACGAAAACTCCCTATTAAACGGGTCGTCACTGTCCAGACGTCGCGATCAGCCTGGTAGCTAGCTAAGCCGGCGTGTCTCTCGGTTCTTGTATTTTGCTGCCGGTGCGTCTGCGACGGCCAGTGTCCCTCGGTCCGCGGACGGGAGTGCGGGAAAGGGAGGGACGAGGGGAGACAGCCCGCGTCTCTACTTCCGCAAACGTTTGTCTGTTTTCCCCCGTACCGTTTGTTTATCCGTGCCTCGGCCTACCCCAGCCGGGCCCGTTCAGCCGAAGGGATGCTCCAATATGGCGGTGTCACTTCCGGTCCAACTTCCGGTAAGTCGGAATCGTTCGCCCTTTCTGCCACCCCCGTCCAACTGTCACCGCGTGGCGCATAATGTAGTCAACGCGTCGCGGGTGATTAATCATTTCTGCTCGGCGTTCGGCTGGCAGACAGGTAGGCTATACTCGGCTCGACCGGGACCCGCGGCTCCGAGGCAGCTCTCGGGCACCGCGCAGAAGAGACCGCCTCGGCAGTACTCCAGATGGCGCGCACAAAACAAATCCCGCTGATTTATCCGCCACGCTTCGCAACCCGAATGTTGCCCTTCCCCTCAAACTTCTCGCATCTGCCCACGCTTTTGTGGCTTGGCCCTTTTCTTTCTTTGCGATGTCTGCTTTGGCTGACGCTGTTAAGTTTGGTCCTCAGCTCTTGATCTCAGTCATCTGCCCCGTCTTCGCTTTGTTCGTCGGGCACGTCGTGGTACACGAGGCTGGCCAATTACGCGTGCGCCACTTTGACTGGCTGCACGTGCCAGAAGGAAAAGAGACCAGAATGTGCAAAAGAGACCCCTCACCATCCCCTCTTGATGCAGGGCTCCGTCGTTTGCAGGCAAATTTAGTAGAAAGCTGCCCTGTTCGGTGTAAAGCTTTGAGACTGCAGTATTCTTGAAACGGAAACGACAAAAAAAAAAAAAAAAACAGCAAAAAACACAGTTTTAGACTATTGCTACAATTCTAACCTCTTATGTTGCGGATGTTGCGGGATACTCAACTAACGAACTAATATATTTCGTCCACTGAATAAGACCAGTTAAGAACTGGAATATGCTTTCGTCTTTGTTGGTGCTATGGCCTGACATATGAGAGAGCTTTAGTAGACCGTTTTCGCTTTCTCGCTCCGCTCTATGGAAATTAATAAAGCTTGGACTTGGGTTTGGGCTCGTTGGTTGTACATTGATAGACGTGCTGCGCTGCGGAGTTCTACAGAACAAATGTGGGACTAAAATTGAAAGGAAAAGGATGAGTTTACATTGAGATGAGGAGAAACACAACGAACACGAATGGGCGCAGTTCTTTTCTTTTTCTCCTTTTCAATGCATGAGTTTCCCAATTCGTGTTCGTTGTGTTTCTCCTCATCTCAATGTAAACTCATCCTTTTCCTTTCAATTTTAGTCACGCCTTTGTTCTGTAGAACTTCGCAGCGCAGCACGTCTCTCAACGCTCCATGGAAAGCGGAGTCGCCATCGCGCATGCATGCGCGACCCGCTCTGGGATTTGAGCTTGAAGCGCCAGCTCCGCTTTCGTCGCCATTTTAAGAAGCACGTTCCACTCTCAGTAAAGGTTCACTAGATGGTGTTTTTCTGGAAAGGAATTCGAAATGGGTACTCGCCATTTGAAATTATGCTTGGAAGCGCGCTTGACCGTTGTGAACCTCGCTGCACTAAGATGGCTGCGCAGAATTTGTTTGAAACGGCGTCCTCCAGAAAACGTTTCACGGTGGTCAAGAACCTCCGGTTGCTTCGAGAAATCGCTGGCCGCAATCCTTTCACGGCCCCTGAACGGTGGGAACAGGTGCTGCCTTGTCTAATCCAGCGGGCTCGATTTTTCTATGCGAGATGACGACGATGACGTTGAGAGGATGACACACCGGGCGACGGCGGTGACTCAATCTGAGCCCTGGGTCTCGGTTCCTCGGAGGCGCCAGCTTCTACTTTGGCTGGGCTACCTCCTTGGAGCATGATGCTTTGACCCCAGTGGACCCCAGTGAGCAACAGCGCCATCATGTTCCTGGGGCTCCTTCATGCACTGATCGAACGGCGTGCAAGATCCTCATCCGCCCAACCCGCCTCCACGAAGTCTGGACTTCTGCAAATCGGGCTGCCATCCTCCCCAATACCAAAAACCCATGTCGTCGTCATCTTGCACGTATATACTCTTCACATTACCATGTTCCCTAGACGCGGCACCGCGGGCCTCGGTGGTACGGGCTGCTGCCTTTCCGCCGTGCCGCGGCTCTCCAGAGCCAAAAATTAAAGGCTAAAGACCAAAGACTAAAGCAGTCGGCAAGCGGACAGATATTTTGTTTGGTTACTTTAGGCAGCAGGACAGTGAAAATTAGCGAAAGTGAGTGCTCCATTTATATCTCTACTTTATTTTTCCCAATGAAATGAGTCTTTTCTTCTTCGTATGCTTCGGTTTGTGATATGGTGCTTGGTGTTTATGTACACTGCGCGACATTGTTAGCGGGAGCATTCAATATCCTGTTTTCATTTTTCACCTTAAATTCGAGGGGCTGACATTAGCCTTTTGGTGTGGAATAAAGCGCTCGTTTGGGGCACTAATCTGAGCGACAAATTTTCAGCTCTTTCAATAGCTGTCAAAAAAATAAACTGCAAATAAAAGCGATTTTTTCGTGTTCGTATTAACAGTACAGCGCAGTGTATGTATCATGCCTTGGAAGGTGACATGAAACCATTTTGCTTGACTACACTTCTTTTTATTTGGATACATGGTTTTGCAAAAAAAAGACGGACACAAGTGAGAGAAACAAACACGAGCGCAACTTCCAACTGTATTGAGGAAACCTTTAGAAAACATACAGATATATCGTCAACTTCAATGCGTCCACGCATGCGTCGTGTCACTATGACACGGTCGTCACAGAAACTTATCAAGGAAGCGTTTTTCAGCATTATACAAACTTATCGAGGTATCGCTCACACATAGGTCGCCTTTCTTTTTGATAAAGAAGGCTTCCAACAGCTCACGTGCTTTTTGTCCCTTAATTCTACCCAAAATTGCAGTGTCAGAAAAACGTGGCTCACACTCACAGTTTCTGCAGTGTGCAGGCAAATGTGCCCCGTCATTAGTCTTTAAATTTTGAGCATGCTCCCTGATACGGTCGTTGGCACACCTTCCCGTTGGCCCCACGTATGTCTTCCCACACGTGAGCGGGATTTCATAGACGACTTCTGTTTTGCAGCCAACAAACGGCCTGGCATGCTTTGTGCTGCATCCTCGCTTCTGACTGCTTTCTCCAGTAATGCGGGGGCAGAGTTGGCCGAGTTTTGTCGGAGCTGTAAACACAATCGGCACCCTATGTCTGTTCGCAACCTTCTTGAGGTTATGCGAGAGTTTGTGCACGTATGGTACCGCTTCATGCCTCACATTCCTCAGTGTTGACTGCATCCTTTTTCCAGCAGTGTGTCCCTTCACTCTTTGCAGGATGGTTTCCGCCACACTCCTCAAGACCGAATCAGGGAAGCCCGCTGACAATAGTCGAGCCAATTGGTTGCTAAAGCTTGCCTGTATCCTGTGAGCACACGACTTTCTGAGGGCGGACTCAAGGCAAAGCTTAGCAATTCCTCTTTTAACAACCTTTGAATGGGCTGAGTCATACGGCAGGAGTTCCTTTCGAGACCGTGGGGAATACATCAAACAAACGTGTTCTTCCAAAAACAAAAGGTTCAAGTCTAAAGACTGAAGGCTGCCCTGGTTAAGCAGCTCATGTGTAAAAGACAAGCCTTTGCCATGGCGTCTAAAAGTCCGTAAAACCTCATTCACACCATCAGTGTACGTCAGAGAAGTCTGCTTTCTAAAAACAATTAAAAAATCATCCACGTATCTAAACACTCTACAAACATTAAAATCATTAAGAGCCTGCTCAAGCGTCCGATCAATTTTTGCTAAAAAAAATGTTGCATAGTATAGGGGCTACGCACGAACCAATGCATATGCCTTTCTTCTGTAAATAAAGTTGATTGTCAATGAAATAAAAGTGCTGTTAAGGTACGCTTCTAGTAAGTTTAAAAAATCTTCAACTGAGACTCCTGCCGTGTTCTGGAAAGAAACAACTCCATTTACGTCAATACACTCCCTTACTGCACTAAACAATTCACAGTGCGGGACTGAATAAAACAAATCTTCAATGTCAACTGAAAAGGCGTACCCTATGCTCTGGTTATCCTGAAAGAAATCAGCCACCTCATCTGATCTCTTTGTGAGGAAAGGGTCTGTAACCTGCAAGCATTTCAAATGTTTCAATAGAAACTGACTTGCAAGTAGCTGCCACCTGCCCTTTTCACTCACGATAGCCCGAAACGGCACACTCGGCTTATGTGTTTTGGCGGAAAAGAACACGCTTAACGCATCGATTTTACATTTCGACACGTCCTTCGCTAACTTAGTCAGATCTAAACTCTTACACAGATCGACAAACCTGCTTCTTGTATTAGACGCCTTAGCATTAACCGGAGCAAAGTTCTTTTCTATTGCTTTTGCAGCTTTTTTGTTGAAAGTGCCTCTGGGCAAGGTTACGAACCCACCCTCCTTATCTGAATGTAAAAGGCAGAGTTCATGATCTTTGAAGTGCGTTATCACCCCTTTTAAAGAATTGCTACCGCCGCCACGCACTGTCCTAGGGGCACACTTCAAAAGGCAGTCCACACCTTCAAGCAGGCAACGTTCCTGGTCTTCTTTGTCTGCCTTGCTGGCCACTCTCCGATTCAGTGCCACTTTGATTTGCCGGTTGTGTTTTCGGCCCCGGTAAAGCTGTCCAGCCTGTGCCGAAGAATTAACAATAAACAAGACGGAGGTGACGTTTGCAGAAAGAAGCATAGAAAATTCGTGGAATGCGCATCTTCGCTCGTATACGAAATTCCAATGACATGCGGAAAAGGGTACGTGGGCCAAACGGGCAGATGCGTTAATGAAAGGGCAAGAGAGCACGCGCTATCAGTAAGGTATTCCCCCTCGGGCAATTTAGCTATTCTTGCGACAGATGCTCTTGCGCCCCGGAACTGGAAAAAACAAAAAATCTGGGAAAGCTGAGAAGTAAAATCTCGAGAGAGATGTTCGAGTCATTTAACATTAGAATGCAGGGGGATGACAAGTGCATTAGTGCCCCGTCAGTGCATCTGACAGACAAAGAATTTGAATTCTTACTTGAGAAGCCCGATTGGGTGTATATAAATAGTGTGTTTTCAATAAACATTCAGTTGAAAGTAGCGCTTCGTGTTGTCTCACTTACTATGTCCTTGTCTTGCGGCGCATTTTGTGAAAATAAGCATTGGGTCTAATACCGATCCTTGAGGTACACCGCAGGTGAGGTTGATGGTAACACTTATACTATTGCTAATTCTTACTTTCCGTGTTCGACTGGCAAAGTCATTTTTGAAAAATCTAAGGAACGGTCCCCTGAATCTTAGACTTTCTAGTTTATCTAGTAAAGTATCATGGGGGGGGGGGGGGGGGGGGGGGGGGATCTATTGTATCAAACGCCTTAGTAAAGTCTAAAAAAAAAGGCAAGTACAATTTGATTCTTGTCTATCTTCTCATTCATGAAATACGCTACGTCTTCGAGTAATAGTGACGTATTTTTTATTTTTTTCGGAATCCATACTGATAGTTATTTATTAACAAAAATTTGTCGCAGAACGAGGTCATAGTTTTTAAAATAAATCTTTCCATTATCTGATGTATGGCTGACAACAACGCAATGGGCCTGTAATTGGAAACATATTTTTTGTTCCTTTTTTTATAAATTGGCCGCACAAGCGACACCTTCATCTTATTAGGCATATCTCCGGTTTAAAAAATCCGGTTTAATATTGCCAAAAAAACATTTTTTTTAGATTGTTAAAATGAACGCGGAGATCTCTGGGCCTTAATTGGTCGTATCCTGCCGGTTTTGTCGTTACTATATTGCTAATTACGCGTTATGCATCTACTGCTGTTATTTTCGGCATGTACACGGAGTTTTGTGTACTGCTCCGGTAAGTTAGGTATTGTGGTAGATTTGTTTGCGTGCTTACGCAGGTCTTGCACCTGCTTAACAAAAGCGCGATTGAAGTTATCACTTAGTGTGTCGAAGTTGGTTGTTGAAAAATTTATCTTTAGAAATTCGTCCGCGTTATCTTTGGGGGTTTGCCTATGATTTGATTTACCGTATTCCACGTTTCCCCGATGTTCTTTCCGCACTGTTTGAGCTGTGCTGTACGTAACTTCTTTTTAGATAGCCTTGTGTATGCAGTTACCCTGTTCCTTATTCGCCTATGCTCTTCCTTCAGTGATTTATCTTGCAGATTTTGCCTACATCTGTTCCATAATTTATTTTTCTCAAAACTTAACTCAACTATTTCATTATCAATCCACTTGTTGCTAAAATTTCTTTTTCTTAATTTGATCGTCTTTTTTAACTTTCCCAAGTTTCTCGACCACCGCTTCATAAAGGGCTATATGTTCAAGGTGTAAGAGAGAGTTCCAGTTGTACTTTTTTACACTGCAGTCACTTTTTTGTTGTCAATAATTTGTTTGTATTGGCTTTCTTCCATCTGTTATGTACAGTATTCCTTAAGTGTCCGTAGAGCAACGAAGTAATGATCTGCTACTTTTTGTTTAATTATGCCACCTATAAAAAATTAATTGCTTGTTCGGGCTATTATATGATCAATGCTACTTTTTTGTAATTTTATCCGCAAAGTGCTCTTCACTAGTGTAACCATTGATCACATTTTCTAGCCCGTAACTGGACAATATGTTCGGGTAATCCGAAACTCCGTATTTATCATGACTCGAAACGTCAATATTTAAGTCGCCTGCTATAACTATATAATCGTTGTTGTTGTAGGCTGGTACGAACTACAGCACGAGAAAGAGAGCCAGTAGGCGGGGTAAAAGACGACGAAGGTGCACGGGACCACAGGATGGAATACAGAACACGGGCCTTGGACAGCATGGCGGACGGGCTTATGCTACCTCACCTTATTTCTAGTAACGTCTGTAAATAAACGGTTTATTCGTGTAAACTACATGGTGTCAGAAGCGAAGAAACCCAAGACCAGCCAGCTCCAAGTGTGAGTAGCTCCAAGCTGCAGTGAAAGCGAGAGACAAGTCACGAACGATGCCGGACCCGGTAGATCACACGCAGTCATCAAACGGGAATCCAACCGTGGCGCTTCCCACGTCGGGAGGAGTCCTCGCCAGTCTGCTGCCACCCCCTAGGCCACTTGATATGTCCGGCGACTTGGAAGAGTCCTGGAAAAACTGGTGGGATGAGTTCAAGTTGTTTTCAACCGCCACTGGACTCAAGTCACAAGACGCCGAGGTGCAAGCTGCAACATTCCTCGTGACCATCGGGGAAGACGCAAGACGGGTCTACAAAACCTTCAGGTTTGAAAACCCAGGGGACGAAATGCGCGTAGAAAAGCTAGTGGAGCTGTTCGAGAGGCATTGCAAGACAGCAACAAACGTCAGCTACAGGGATTTCGTGTTTGGAACACGGAACCAGCGAGACGGTGAACGGTTCGACGACTGGCTTACCGACCTACGTACACTCGCAACCCAATGCGAGTTTGGCGAAATGCACGACCGCATGTTACGGAGTAGGATCATTCTCGGAATGACCAACAAGCGACTACAACAGCGCATGATTAACGAAGACCCAACGCTGGATCAAGTGATTCAAAAATGTCGAACCGAAGAACGTGGAGCCCAGCAGTTCAAAGATATTCAAGCTGGTGCGACACCCACCGTAGTACATGGGTTACACTCGGAAGAATGCTCTCGCTGTGGATACCTTAAACACACAAGCGAAGGCTGCCCAGCAAAGAATGCGAAATGCAAGAACTGTGGCAGGAAAGGACACTTTGCACGTGTGTGCCGCACACCAGACAAGACAACCAAGCATAAAGGTACGCCACGAAGAAACGTACGCCAAGTAGAACGATGCAAGACCCCCGACTACGACTCGGACGAGGAAAAGTTGGTCTGCAGCCTACACAATGGTGACGGCGACGAAGAGTTCTGGTGTGCAGATGTTAATATCGCAGGGAAGCAAGTCGACTGCAGAATCGACACAGGAGCGAACTGTTCCGTAATGTCTGCGATGCAACTTAGCCGTGTCACGACTCAGAAGCCACAAGTTCTTACTACTAGAATTGGCTCTTTTTTTGGACACGTCAGCAAAGCAGAAGGCCGTATCATCCTGCCAGTCATGCACGGTAACAGGAGTACCGAAGTGAAATTCTACATCGTGCAACGGGAAGTGCCCACCACGATTAGCGGTACCATCGCGGAAAAACTAAACTTGATCAAGCGAGTGGCATCCGTGGAAAAGCACTGCAGTCAGACGGTGCAACAACATGAAGACATATTTCATGGATTGGGAGAATTAAAAGGCGTCAAATACCACATGAGACTCAAGCCAGATGCACAAGGCGTGATCCAGCAGCCGCGTACAGTCGCGGTCGCTATAAGGGACAAGCTCAAAAGCCACCTGGAAGATCTGGTGCAACAAAGAGTGATTGCGCCAGTAACAGAACCAACGGAGTGGGTCCACCCTATTGTGGTTGTACAAAAGAAAGCCAAACTCCGACTGTGCCTTGATCCTCAAGAGCTGAACAAGGTCCTCATGCGGGAAACCTACTGTATGCCTACGTTAGAGGACATAGCCACACGATTGGAAGGAGCCAAGATCTTCTCGACGCTAGACGCAGCCACAGGGTTTTGGCAAATCAAGCTCGACACGCCCAGCTCGTACTTGTGTACTTTTGCGACGCCGTTTGGGAGGTATAGATTCCTGCGAATGCCTTTTGGCATATCGTCTGCTCCCGAGGTGTTCCAGAAGACAATGCACATGGTGTTTGAAGGCTTAGACGGAGTAGAGATCATGATAGACGACATCCTCATCTGGGGAAAGACGACTGAGGAACATGACTGTCGGCTTCAGGCGGTACTACAAAGGTGCCGAGAGGTCAACCTACGACTGAACAAGGAAAAGTGCAAGCTCTGCATGAAACAAATCAAGTACCTGGGTCACATTTTCTCAGCAGAGGGACTCTCAATCGATCCGGATAAAGTGAAAGACATCCTTGCTCTACCAAGACCGAACAATGTGGGCGAACTGAAGAGCATCCTAGGAGTGGTAAACTACCTGGGAAGATTCATTCCTAACATGTCAGACGTGAGTGCGTCGTTGAGGCAACTCCTAAAGAAGGAGACAGCCTGGTCATGGACAGAAGAACAAGAGAGAAGTTTCACAGCCCTTCGGACGGCTCTGACGGTCGCACCCACGCTGCGGTTCTACGACAAAAACAAGCAAGTAACGCTGTCAGTAGATGCAAGCTCCAGAGGAACAGGTGCAGGGTTGCTGCAGGAGGGACATCCAGTAGCTTATTCTTCAAGGTCCTTGAGTGACGCTCAGAAGAACTATGCACAAATCGAGAAGGAGTTGTTAGCGATCGTACACGGATGCAGTCGATTCCACGACTTCATCTTCGGACACACCGTTGTCGTGGAGTCGGACCACAAGCCATTGGAGGCTATCTTCCGAAAGCCTCTCAACCAGTGCCCTCTCAGGCTACAGAGGATGAGACTAACCCTTCAAAAATATGAACTTCAAGTTAAGTACACCCCAGGAAGAGAGCTATACATTGCTGACACACTCTCTAGAAATCCATCAAAGGAGGAAGAGCCAGAGGTTTTCGAGGTGAACGTCTTGGAGTGCCTCCCCATCAAAGACGAAACCTTAGAAGAATGTCGGAAAGCGATAAGTAAAGACAAAGATATGACCACCATGTTAGAGTATACAAGAGGTCAGTGGCCAATCAGCAAAGAAGAAGTACCAAATACTCTGAAGCAGTATTGGCCATACAGAGACGAGATACATGAAGAGGATGACTTGCTGTTCAGGTCAAATAGACTCATCATTCCAGAACAACTGAAGAGTGAAATACTAGTAAAGTTACACAGGGCGCACAGCGGTGTAGAGAAAGCACTACATCGTGCCAAAGAAGTTCTCTACTGGCCTACAATGCAGAAAGACATAAAGGATAAAGTAGAAAGTTGCATCGTGTGCAAAGAAAACAAGCCACGACAACAGAAAGAAGCTCTCATTAACCATCCTGTGCCAACCGCACCATGGCAAGTGGTTGGAATAGATTTGTTCCAACACAACGGCCACCACTACATTGTGATAGTGGACTACTACTCGTTCTACTACGAAACACATCAGCTTCAGAGGACAGCTGTCAATCAAGTGATCAACTGCTGTCTAAAAACATTTGCTGTGCATAGATTGCCAGTCAAAGTCGTTTCAGACAACGGTCCACCATTCAACAGTGCAGACTTTAAGGAGTGTCTACAGCACCGAGGAATCTCCCACGTGACATCCAGCCCCTATCACCCCAAATCCAATGAAATGGCTGAGAGAGCGGTGCAAGAAGCCAAAAAGCTCATGAACAAATGCAGCTATGGAACTACAGACTATTATGACGCCCTACTGGAGTGGCGCAACACACCTCGAGACGGAGTCCTGGGATCTCCAGTTCAAAGGCTTATGAATAGGCACACAAGGACAGAAATTCCCACGCATCCTTCGCTGCTTCAAAGCACAAAAACAAACCACACAGAAGTACAACAGCGGTTGAGGGACAAACAAAAGAAACAACGGCAACAATACAACAAAAATGCCAAAACTCTGCCCGAACTCCACACCGGAGAAGATATATTTCTCAGGGATCAACACAGCGGAAAGTGGAGGCCTGCTATTGTTGTAGCAAAAGCACCACAGCCAAGATCGTACATCGTCCAAGACGACGATGGTGTCCAGTGCAGGCGAAACAGCATAATGCTCCGCAGAAGCCAAAGAACGAAAAGGAAACCAGCCCGCTTCAGGGACACAAACTTCGTCAACAAGTAGGCGAAGAAAGAGAGATGTAGGCTGGTACGAACTACAGCACGAGAAAGAGAGCCAGTAGGCGGGGTAAAAGACGACGAAGGTGCACGGGACCACAGGATGGAACACAGAACACGGGCCTTGGACAGCATGGCGGACGGGCTTATGCTACCTCACCTTATTTCTAGTAACGTCTGTAAATAAACGGTTTATTCGTGTAAACTACAGTTGTTAAATCTGTTTATCAGTTTATTGAATTCTTCATAGAATAGATGTAGATTTCCACTGGGTGGTCTATAAAGGGCACATATAGTGAACGATATAGCCGGCTTAATGTATATTCATCACAAGAGCTTCGGCATGCTGCGAAGATACCTTAATACGGTCGAAAAGTCAGCAAATTTTTAACGTATACCAGTATCCCCCCTCCTTTCCTGCCTTCGCGCCGTACAGACATTTCATGGTATCCATGCATGGGGAAGTGCAGCGGTTCGTTTATTTCAACATTTATTTCGGTAAGTATAAGCATATCGATATCAACCAGCGCATCTGCTATGTAAACATTCAGTTCATCACTGTGCTTCTTAAGGCTTCTAACATTTATTTGAACGATATGTAGGATCTGGTCTTCTTGCTTTTTTCCTTCTCCGGTTAGAACTTTTCTGGTATGGTTATCCCATTCTTCAAATGTATCGAAAGACATTATTGATTTTTGTTCAGGTCACTTTGGTCATCAATTCGGATTACAGCCGTTCCGTCCCTCTTTCTCACAAAAATTTTCCCATTCTTCATCCAGACGTATTTGTAACTAATTTCCCTCGTACAATACTTTGTATTTCAAAAGAACCATCGCTGTAGCCTGGTGAAGTTCTTGTTGATGTACACGTGTTCGTCCTTCAATGCTGTACGTTTGGAGGCCGATCTGTACGTCTCGTTCTGATCTGTAATTGAAGCGTACAATGATAGGAGGTATCTTACCATCCTTCGCTTTAAGTCTGCATAGACTCAATTTTATCGGGCTGCGGCACAGATAAGTTCAGTTTTGTTGCTAGGTTCTTTATGACTGCTGTCAGGTCTTCGCGATCGTACTCTGTAATTCCATGAATTTCTATGTTTTTTCTTCGGGAGTATTGTTCCGCGTTTTCCACTGCCCGTTCAAGATCTTTAATCCTCTCATCTCTTTCATGCCCGAGCTGTTCGATCTCAATTGTCCTTTTTTTTTAGTTCGGTCGTGACACGTGTCAATGAGTCTACCTTTTTTATATGGTCATCATATTGCTTGGAAAGCATGGTTATCGAGGTTTCTATCGCTTGAAAAGTTTTTTTTTGTTTTTTTTTGTTTATCGAGCTTTTTAATTGTGGTGTCATGCTTAAGAGATTGAATGTTTAGCTTCTGTTCGATTTTCTCGATTCCAGATACGACTTCCCCTAGCTTCTGGCATGTTTTAAATGTCTGCTCCATCATAGCTGCGTGTTTTTGATCGTCAGTTTTGCTTGCCATTGCTATTTCCTGGCTATCTTTTTAGGAAGCTTGCCGTTGAGAATGCACTCTACAGGTGGCACCGTTCTGAGACGGGAGTCCCTCTGGTTCCATGGCTTTTAACTTTATTTTTGTGATGTCTGCGCACTTCCGGATGTGGTAGGTGTTCCCACACTCTGGGCATTTTAGCGCTTGGCTGTCTGCTGCGATTGACCTTAATCATGCCAACTATTCGTCTGACTCTCCCGCGTTGTGCATAACGGCAGTGCAAAGGGAAGGCAGTCCAGCGAAGTAACAAGTACAACAAACTGCTAGGCAAATACCTGCACCCACCTGGGGGTCAAAACGGAGAAGTTATGACCGTGCTGTGCACTCCGCTGGACTGCGTCCTTCCTTCGCCTGGCGCCGTTTTATGTGGTGTGTGTCGCCGCCTGGTAGATGTTGTTGGGTGGCGAGGTGACGTCGTTCTTGATAGTGGCCTGTGGTCAGCCCATGCGCTGCCTTGGTGTGGCTGCGATGACGATGTAGTGGCAGATTATTCCAGCTTCGTTTCCTAGGGGTCAAAACGGAGAAGTTATGACCGTGCTGTGCACTCCGCTGGACTGCCCATGCTGAGCAACATTCGCCTATGTGGACATTCAGGTCACTTTGTTCCTGCTTTGTGGTTCAATGCGGGTTGCGGTTTGTTTTTTCTTGTTCATAATTTTGCTTTCTACTCCGGCAAAAATTTCTAGGGTATGTTTGTAAGCGAGGTATTGTTTACACATCGGAAATGTGCTTCACTGACGTTACTTTATGTCATGTTTCTTTTCGTTGCTTCTACCTTTGACTCAGGCCTCATAACATTTGGTGGTACCAGCTAGCCAGCCTTATCCTTTGGATGTTTAAGGTATCTCTTACCCATGTGCACTTGGCGAGCGAGAAAAGGCTATGAAAAAAAAGCTTGATAATTTCGCGTTATGTGATCTGTTGTGTGCACGAACTTGAAGAAAAAATAACTGTAAACGTAGAAAACAGCACCAGACACCCTCGTGTCTGGTGCTGTTGTTGCTGCAACCAGGGACGCAACACGTGAAACTCGCCCTAACGGCGGAGCAAAAGAAAAACAACTCGATGGAACAACACTGCTAACGCCGTCCGTGCGAGGCTGGCCGTCAGCGAAATCTTCACTGCGTGCCCGCCCGCGACCGCACCAGCCCCGCTGCGCAGAGACTAAAGGTCCCACAATGCATCGCGGCAGAGGCGGTGTAGCGAAACCTGCGAATGAGATCGGTCTATTAGCAAGCATGCTGCATATTTACAAAGTGAATTGACCGGTATCTTGTCAATTACAGAGCCCTAGCTCTTCCGGGTTTGGACAATTTAGTCGTGTAGGACAAAATGTTGTCTTGGTTACCCGCTGCTTCAAGCCAGCGTCAACCAGAGTACGAATTCAGGTGTATATTAGAGTGAAGGATTTTAATGACCGCTTTTTGCATGATGCATCACTGTGCTGAATGTAAACAGTATTCGTTGGGAAAAGAAAAGTTGTGATTGTCGCGGTCTGTTTTCATAAAACGTAGACCGAAAGGACTTGTCCCAACCCTTCATGCCATTTAAATAGTATAATGTTAGCTTGCGTATATATCGCGATGCATATTTTGTGAAATATATTTTATTGTGCCGATGATCTGCACATTACTGCTATTGTGCACGGTAATAGTTTATGTTAAGCGCACAACCACGATTTAACTTTTAAGACAGTGACACTAAGTTGTAGCAAACACTGACATTTTAGGTGACTAATCTCACTTGGTGTAAATACTTCGATTCAGATAAAACATGTGACTGGGATAAACAAGTAAAAATGGGGTTGTATAAAAAACTAGTTTTTAATACTGCTGTGTCTAAAGATTAATTCACACAGCTTCGTTTTTTTTTTTTTTTTTACGTTTTCTTTCGTCACGTATAACTCAACGAAACATTCGTGTCTCGAATTGGTAGCCAAGCACAGAAGTCCCGGTGGCTTGCGGCGTAACCTTTCGTAACATAACGTAACGTAAGAAAACGGGGCTGTGTGAACCAGTTTTAAGTCCAACACATTATTTTTGTTACTTACAAATAAAAGTGGATTGTACAAACAATACAAAAATACATGTTTTACACAAGAAATAAGAAAAAAAAATATATATTCAATAATTAGCTGTTCAACCCGGTCCGAACCGGGTTGAACCGGCCTGCTATCCGGAGCTGAACCGGAACTAAACCGGAAGCCGCGAACCGACCGAAAATTTTGGTTTCGACACTCTGCATGAGGTAAACCTAAAAAAAAAAAAATTCCATGGTACCGTTGTCGATACATCAGCGCGCAAACACGAACCCCAAAAATTGTGGGCATTCTTTTTCGATAAAAACCTGCTGCATTACATGATTAAGAAAGAAGGAATAGCTCCCCTATGGATCCTTCTTTCCTAATCTTTTTTCCGAGCCTTCTTTTTGAGTCTTCATGGGGCAGTGTACCCCCACTGGATGTTGTGCAGACTTCGAGTTTTATCATATCAACACATGGTTTACAGCGAAGCTGTAGAGGGCTAGGGTTCCATGCATTTTTGGTATCCGTGTGCAAAAAAAAAAGTCAGAAATTGCATGTAAAAGCCCTTTATTGTATGGGAATGCATGTACGCCTCGTCACCTCGATATGTATTTTGATAAGGAAAGACGTCGAAACGTTTGATAATGAAGATACGTCCGAGAACAATGGGCCTTCTCCTGCTCGATTCAGGTGACGTCACTGCTTTACATATATACAAACAGCGGCTGCCGAGTAGGGCATTCTATTGTGTTCTGCAGTTGCTATGGAAAGGCCACGTATAGTTAGGACTCCCGAAGAGCAACGTGCCTATGACGAGCGCCATCGGCCATGTATAGATTTAACTTTAGCAAAGGAGCTCACCAAATTTGTAATGAAACGGATTAGTGTATATCATAGTGATCACAAAGCAATCATCACTACCGTTTCAAAATTATGTTTATATACTGTAAAAAAAAAAAACATTTGGTGAAGTGCTGTTGTACGTCTCTTGGTGAATCCTTTGGGGTGATGCTCTACAGACCTTCACAGAGAGGAATGGCTCCAAATTTTTCATATACATTTGTTCTAATGAGTCTATATAACTGCCACAGAAGTAGTCATTGCTTTAAATGTGTTAAAAAGCTGCATAAACTAATTTATATAGAACGTGTAAAACGTTGTTTCAGCTCGTTCATTTTTGTTACAAACGATTTATTTCAAAACCGCGCAGCCATTGGTCGGTTGGAAGTTTACGTGTGCTTTAAAAATGTACTCTATCTGGAATTTCTCAAACACGTTCTAAATGCACACGGAGAGAACCTGAGGGAGAGGAGGAGATGAAGGCGTGCGGTGACGTGAGAGCACCAACCTCTGATTGGAAGGATTAGGGGGTAGACACAAAGGCTAGCTGCCTTTGTCTCTACCCAGCGCCCCCCTACAACCAGATTGAACGAGAGCGCCGTCTGCTCTGCCCGCCAGACCCTGCACGAGGAACGGACGACGTTCTTGCTCTCTTTGATAGGAGTATGATGGTGGGGTGGGGACGACAAAGGCATCTATGAACTGTGTCCGAACTTCCAAAATGGTTCAATAGATATCTCGAGAATATAAAACTCCCGCGATTATCCGCCGCCCTTTGCGCTCCGCGTAGATTCAGCGTTCCTCCCGTGATCCCCGAAGCGTGTACATACCACAAGTAGGGTCAACGTTTCTAGAACTCAAAGGGCCAACTGAACGTGTTTGTAACGCATCAAAATGAAAAGCGCAGCAAACTCAAGAACGACGGACAGACCCCTAGCTGATTTCTCGGGAGCTCATCGTCTGCCACGCGTAAACTCCAGAACACCTGACAGAAGCTGACTCGTCTTTCGATCCGGAACGAGTGAACGAAGAGAAAGTCAGCGGTTGCCAGGAAAAGCGAAAAATTCGGATTAAAATAAAAGCACCCAAAGTGAAAGTTCACGGCAGACGGGGACGGGAGAAGATGGAGAGGAGGACGCACACCACGTGACCATTTGCAACCGGTGGGGTTTAAGAACCGCGAGAGCTCCCCAAGGTCTGAGCACCGTGCACACTCCCCCCATTCTCCTCCGGCGAAAGCAGACGACAAGATTTGCGAATGGCAAACAGAAAGCAAGAAATGGGGGAGGCAGGCGAGGCAGAGCGCGGACGAAGAGCAAAAAGACAACTCCGACGAAATAAATACGACCATGAAGCATCGGGGCCGGAGATTCAGCCCGAGGAAGATCCTAAAAGTAGCCCGGCTCCCCCCACCACCCATCCACCGGTCGGCGCCGGAAGAGGCTTCTGGAAACGACGGGATGTAGAAAAGCCGAAGAAGCAAAAAGGAGAGGGGATAACGAAAGGAGCACGCGGCACGCGTTCGGCACGCGCGCGTGCTGCTGGGGCCGCTTGAGGGGTCACGGTTGCGACCCCGAGAAAGAACCCGGAGCTCTTCCAGCCTCGCGGTTGGCTCACCATCTTGGGACGCCATCTTGAACCCACCGTGTCACGTGCTGCACTGCAAGCAGACAACCGCCGGAGGGGAACGAGGCAGCAGGCGGCAAAGTTCTAAGCTGTCTGAAACTGTAAACGTGCATAGTTAATCCGGAGGGTCGTGCCTGCGCCCGTGGTTGTACTCTGCCCCGCGGAACTCCAACTCAGCAGAAGAAAAAGAAGAATACAGACGTATTTTAGAGGGGCCGAAGGGAAAGCTGCTGCTGGCTTCACCCAGCGGACGAACTCTTCATCAGGCTGGGTAACGGACGAGTGGACTTTGTTTTGGCTGGCATTATTCCCCAAAAGGGGCAACCGTTCTATGTGATCTGTATTGTCAGTGTTCAGAACGCAAAGCTGTTGGGGATATGGGGCCGAAAGGACGATGGGCTGGTTAGTCACGAATATTCTCACCGTGTCTCGAATCAGCTTTGCGTACAAAGTAAAAGAGCGAAAGGGACAAGGACAAGAGAGTAGACAGGACAGGCTTTTCTCATGTCTTCTTGATTGTCCTTGTCTCTTTTTTCGATTTTCGTCTGCATACCCTAAATAGGCACCAACTAGCTTGGCAACGTACTTTACTATCTAATGATCGTTTCAGGAAAACCTCAAGATTCGATTGGAAATGATAGTTCGAGTTTATTTTGGGACTTGCCACTCGCTGATCAATAATGAATACCTCGAGAGGCTTCCAGCAGTCACTGAAGACACAGTTCTGCAGCGAACATCGACCTCAAGGGACAACGCTTCACATTCACGTGCCTTTCAACCATCGCGATGTAACTGACAAGAACCTGCA